CTGGACCTGACCTCCCTGCCGCGAGATGGTCTAGCAATTTATACTCCACGACTTCGGGATTCTTTTTGAACCGATCTTCCTTCCCACCAGCGACATACTCGAGGTCATACATCCAGACCGCGCGGGCAAGGACCAGACACAGCTCCATGACCGCCAACCGCCTCCCGATGCACTGTCTCGAGCCGTACGAGAACGGGGTCAGGGCATCGTGGCACCGCTTGACGGCGTCGACACTCGTGTGTTCGGGCAGCCACCGCTCGGGGATGAACGTGTGCGGGTCGAAGAAGACGTCTCGGTGATGGTGCACCGCGTAGACGGGGACCGAGAGCTCGACGCCCGCGGGGAAGTGTTCGCCCGCCGCGCTGAGGCCGCCCGTGAGCACCTCCCGGGGCAGCACGCCGGGGAGGCTCGGGCTCAGACGGATCGTCTCGTTGATGACCGCGTGGAGGTAGTCGCAGCCGTCGAGCGTCTTGCCGAGGCGGATCTCGTCGACGCAGGTGAAGGTCGTGCGGATCTCCTCCGTCAGACGCTTCAGCGCGTGGGGATTGTGCGTCAGATAGAAGAAATTCGCCGCCAGCTGTGTGGCTGTTGTGTCGGAGCCTGGTTGTACACTTTATGAGTAACGATCGCTCTTTCGCTCTCCCAGAACTCCTGTGTTAAAAGAGAGAGGACGTACCTCCAAGTATAAGACCCCTCGCTTCGGCAAACACCTCCTTGGAATTGGCGTAGGCTTTGGTGCCGTCCTTGTTCTCGGCGCTGGCAATGTACGAGAAGAAATCCTTGCGGCTCTGGTCGGCGTTCATGCGCAGCTGGACCTGTTTCTTCGCGTACACGAGCAACTGCCGGCCGCGGCGGACGATGTCTGGGAAGAGGATTTTGTCAAGGTTCCACCTGAGCATGAAGTGGCTGCATCCGTTCTGCGTGTGTGGTCAGCCAGGTCTCTTCGAGTCCTTTGGACAGTTTCGAGTGTTCGGGCTTGCTTTGTGTCGCGTCTGTCCCAAACCATACACGGGTAGGCGGCCAGAGCAAACTTACGAGAAGCTGCTGGTGTACGGCCGCGTCAATGACATCGGGTAGCTGGCGACTTTCATCTCCCCTGAGCATGCCAAAGTCCTTGCCAAACACGAGATCGCCCATGACATCGAAGGTCAGGTAGTTGCCCCATTTCCCCAGGTCCGCGGTCCAGCATTGTCGCAGTGCCGAGCAGTGCTCTTCGCCCGACGCCGCACGGAAGAATTCGTCAATGTGCGGGAGCATGTATTGTTCCATGGAGGACAGGTTCGCCTCGGTGAATGCTGGGGCGAGGATGCGGCGCTTGCGGGCGTGGATCTCGCGGTCGCGGGAGGAGAACATGTTCTGGAAGCCATTGTGTGCGATCGACGCTTCGTAGAAGATGGATTTGCGCACGTTCTGGTTCACGCCGTAGATGTCTGGTTAGGATAGTCAGGGTTAGCTTCGTCATACAGCCACTGGTGTTCAGCTGAGGGGCGTCAGTGGTCCAAGTATACGTACCTTTGATGGCAGCCGAGTCGTTGATTGTCACGAGGTTGGGAGCAATACGGACAAACTTGCCTGCACGGAGAACAGACACTTCGTCAGTCACCGTCTCTTCTGATCACCTTCCATGCCTCACATCCGGCCTTTTCTCACAAGCATCTCCTGAACCCCCCTACACCTTGACAACACGTACCATACTTCTGGTGCGCCCAGTAGATCTGCAGGTGTCTGTCACCGATAGCAGCGTGATAGACCGAATACCAATTCGTGACCCTCGCCCAGAATGGACCGGGGTACTTTGCGAGTGGATGGAAGTAAAGCCTATATGTGACTAGCCCGAGTGTCTGCCATTTGCGTCAGCATTCATGAGAGGTTGGGATTGGTAGCTGAGAATCGTCCATTCTCCTGAAAAGCATACATAAAGCAGTGCTGTCGAGATGGAAATAACACTCAGCAGAAGTACAGGATGGTAGAGTAGTCCATCCTTCGCTGTGACGGACTCTCCCGAACGATATGTGAATGTCATTGTTGGCAGCCAGCGATATCACCACGATATTGAATGAATTGGTCAGCGTAGTGCTTCGAATTTCCCAGCTCGTATCGACTTCATGATCGGAAATATATCATTGGAGTCGTCGGACTCCTTATACACAAGTCTCACTTCCATGTCAGCTTGGTTGATCTGACCTTGATCATCGTTCCGAACTTGTCATTACTCCATGCCATTGGGAAAACCCCGATGATGAGGCCTCCCCGATTGACAGCACATCTTTGCAGATTCCCTAAGCCACCGAGCACCTCCAGAGGTCTCTCCCATTGCTGGCCATAAATGCAAGGACCTACGGTAGATAGCAGGTCATCGAGTCTGATAGGTTCCCCCACGTTCTCAACCCACACGTTGCGGAGAGTGATCGTCACGGAGCCGACTGGAGTGCTGACCATGGTCGGAACGTTCCGACTACTGCACCTTGGATCTGTTGGGTTATACTTCCCGGCCTTGAAAGTATTCACATAGGGTCGAGACTTGGAGATTAGGTGTCTGAAGGCATTGTCTAAAGTGGTGGAAGGCCGGTGAGCCACCAGTTCACGGTGAAGGGCACGAGTCATTCTCCAGGAGACCACGGACTATCCATCGTCCCAAGTTGGCCATATACACCTTTCCGTCAGAGCTCCTCGATTCGGTCTCAAATGAATTTGTGTAACCCGCAATATAACCTCGATGCCACAACATTCGTCCCGATATGAGATAAGTTTGAGGTTGGAAGGGTGAATGAGATGGTGGTTTGGCTTCGACGAGGCTGTCGTCTACCAAGTCAGGTAAAGTGCAGCCTCGAACGGGTACCCCACGGCGGGGCCCTCCAACTGCACCGCAAGATCGACGTGGACAAAAGGGCCTCCTATGTAGTTACAGAATTTTGGCATTTCTCTGAACTCGAAGACAGGAGAAGATGCTACGGTGAATGCGATACCATTGAAAGTTTCTATATCCGAAGTCTACATATCACGTCTTTTCCTCTTCCAACCGAGGACCTTGCGTCTCCAAACGACTGCCTCCTTCACATCTCCTACAAACAAATCCGTCAAAGTTCTATTCACTTTAGGATACACTCAAAGAGTAGAAATCCGCCATCATGCAGTCCGGAATTACAGGTAACTTGGTACCCTCCCGCACCTGGACCGTGATATACAGGAGGCTGACTGACCACCATCCTTCTGCTACCTGCAGCATCTTCTGATCTTCACTCCGCATTCAGCAACTTTACCAGCGATACCTCTCTCTTCTGCCTCCCTGCCGGTATAAGTTCCGAGTCCCTCACGCCTTTACCAGCGATCCGCTTCCCCTCCACGCATTCCGGCCTCTTCAACAGCATCCACACGCTCTCCGATATCCTGACGCCGACCGACCCCTTGTACTTGCTCCTCCGTCGTGCTCCCAACTCCAGTGAGCTGATAGCAATAACATATGTTCCCTCACGGGCCCCCGTGCGGCAGAAAACTCTGTTTGCATCAACACGCAACACGCTTATGCGCGAGCTCGGCACTGAAAAGTTCTCCGAGACGGTCTTCTTGACTGAGAGAGAAGAGATCCTCGATCCTGCGCAATGGGATGAGCGTTCCAGAGGCTCTGCGGCTGCGAGCGGTGGAGTCCCAACCCCCGGTGCGAGGGGAGCCGTGGATTCTGGGTTGCTCAGCGCAGAGGAGAGGGAGCTGCAAGCTGTGAAACGGGCCGAGGAGGAAGAAAGGCACGGAACGCGGGGAAGAGATCTGATGGGCGAGGGAGGAAGTGGCGCCACACAGGGCAAAGGGGGTGTCATGATGAAGATTGCGGATGAGGCCAAGTCCACTTTGACGGCGTTCAAGGACACTGACAGTTCGGGCGGCAATATGGCTGTCTTCGGAATCGACATTGCCACGGAAGAGATTCAGCTGTTGTCCACAAATTCTGACGTCCATCCCGGTGCGGTAGCTGGGAATATACCAGGCGATCGACCAAGTTATACATTTTACAATGCACACGGAGTCTCGGGAAGTATATTTATCTACGTGTGTCCCGGGACGAGCAAGATCAAGGAAAGAATGGTCCACGCGAGTTCGAGGTTGGGAATGACCAAACTGGCCGGGTGGGAAGGTGTCGAGATCGTGAAGAGGTTGGAGGCCGGAGATCCGGAGGAGTTACACGGCGAGAGACTAGAGGAGGAAGTCAAGTCTTTGCTCGCCGCGGCGGGTCTTGCTAGTGGAATTTCTGGTGCAGAAGGCGGCGACAACTCGGGCCCCGGGTCGGGAACTGCAACACCCAGAGGAGGATTTGCCAGACCAAAGAGACCAGGGAAGAGGTGACGAGTCGATGAATCAGGCAGAATTTTGAAGCTGCACTACAAACTTGCAAGAATAACCTCTCTTTTTCGAGGTAAATGTGGCGCTGATGGCTTTCAAAAGCACCCAATAACCATTCTCAAAGACATATGACGAATAAAGCGACGATTGAATTGAGATCAGTCGCTGGCTGTCTTCTACCCTTCCTTTCCTTCATTCTCTGCATACGCCGGATCCACTCGTCATTCAGTGTCGTGACACGACAAACGTGTTCTCGCTGGTAGAAAATCTGTTGTTTGATGCATTTGGCCCGGGATATAGACCGGATTTCAAGTGTTGTACGTGCGGCTCAACACGCGGAACAATCGGAGCATAAGCCAGTACCAATTCAGCAGAACAAATGGCTCTGGCCGTATTCCTCATTGTGGGGGAGGTGAGAAGCGGACGTGCTGGGTTGCCACAGAATGCGCAAGATTTGCGGACACTTCTGTGCCATATTCAACCACTCTGAAAGATTGTCTCGAATGAAATCCTCGCCAGAACAGGCAACTCGACCATGAATTATCCCCCTAGGCATCAAGTTGTATCCTGCACAGCTTGGAATATGCACTCATTTTAGCCCATACGGACAGAGAGCGGTGGTCTGTTCCCAGCGCCGGCTTCCCTCTGAAAAGATGCAGCTCGTGTCTCTAATACTGTTGATTTCTGAAATTCTTCTTTTGATAGAACAGATCCGTCCTCGACGATCCCAGATTGATAATCTTCGGGCACCCGTCTCGGTCCTTTTCCAACCTCGTGCACTCGAAGCAGTAAAAGGCGTCGGAAATCCCTTCACCGCCGCAGACGATGCACTTGTTCTGGTAGTTGCCGAAGGAGCACTCGTCGCAGATTCGCACAAGAGTCGTCGGGCGCACGTAGGAGTCGCAGACGGGGCACTTGCCGTCGCACTTGTCGCAAAGACGGCCGATCGAGATGCCGGGGGCTTTACGACACATGACTAAATCAGGGTGGTGGCGCGACATTGTTGCAGTTGTATTTCGCGGGGGGTTTCGAGAGCGACCAGAGGTACTGTTGTAGTGGTTTTCAGTAGTTCGAGGAGGATTGATTTGGTACAGAGCTTGTGGACGACGCAGGAAGGGAGGATGCAGGGAATAATATGTAGGTCGGCGTAGTGGCTGCGGGACAAGGAAACGGAAACGCATCGAAAAAGCTCAGCCTTGCGCGAATTTCTAAGCCTCGTTCCTTTTCCCCGCACAAACAAAAGCGGCACGTGCAGCAAGAAAAGATCTGTGGAGCTCCGCCTGCAGGCCTGATTCGATGTTTCTGCCTTTCATCTACACATCAACAGCCTCGATGCCAAACCAACGAACTGTGGGAGTGAGGAGCAGGAGCCTCACTTGATAGAGATCCAACTCTTGAACCCACCGCATTTTGCGAACAATGATATCCTCGGCTGTCCTCATTCCTGAGGAGCCTCAGGTCGACCCTGCAGACCAACATGGCTCCCTCAAACGCCGCCAGTCCTCCCATTCCGAATCCTCAGAATCAAATAAGCGCCCCCGCCTCAACTCACAGACGTCAACGGCCGGAACGAACAATGGCGAAGCGTCCCCATCGGCGCCATCAGCAACTTCGCCAGCCGCAGTAGGCGCTCCAGGAGGACAGCCATCGGCGATGTCGCCTCCTCCGCCTCGCCGACGACAGACATCTTCGACCCTGGAACAGGATAAATCTCGAAACCGAAGACTTTTCGGTGCCCTACTCGGCACTCTTTCGCAATCCTCGAACGCATCGAGAAGGTCGTCCGCTGGAACCAAGATAAATAATCCAACGACGACGACGTTAAACGAACGACGTGAAGAAATCGAATCGCGTCAGCGGGAACGCCTGAAACGCGAGTCCCATGAGATCGCCGAATCTGCCCGCGCAAAGAGGCAACAACTTCAGCGCGAACGACGAGTCGAGCAGTTGCGCTGGGATGAAGAGGCAATGAAATTGCGGCATAGGAATATGAGGGCCGCCGCTGGATTTTTGCAGACCAAGGCAGAGCCACGATTATACTATAAACCCTGGGAATTACGCGACTCGGAGGAAGACGAGATTAAACAGCAGATCGAAGAGGCGGAGGCCACGATTCAGCGGGAAACCGAGGAATTTGAGGAGAAAAGGAAGTCGAGGGAACAGGAGCTGAAGGCAGAAGATAAGGAGGCGCAGCACCCGCCGGGTCCAAAAAGCCTCCCTGGAGATATCACGAAAGACGAAGGAGACAATCGCCTTGATGCGAAAGGCGAGGCTGTCAACGACGCATCTGGAAACGAACAATCGGTTCAGATCACAAGTCCAAAGGATGGGGAAGATCAACCCTCCCCCCACGATGCTTCCGGTCCGCTGAAGGATAACGACTCTGCGGAACACCCACCGAAAGCAGAGAGGCGGCGCAGCGGCAGTAGCAAAGAGCACGACGACCATGATCATGGCGGCGAAGAACTCGAGCGTGGACAAGAAGACGATGTAATATACTGAATATGTACCGTTGAGGGTTGTCGGCTACAATACTGACGAATACCACATTGTTGGATGTTTCTCTGCACAGCACAGAGCGGACACGAGACTCGTACGGCATGTGCATGTTTCTCGGCGAGAAGTGATTCATTCAGATGCCGTTGACCGCCCGTAGAGACTCGCAACGCCATGTCAAAATCTCTCGGTGGACTGATTCCGCTGGGAAAATTATACCTCACACAGTCCAAGCGTACAAGCAAGATGCGTACCGTAGGGATGATGGTGCTCAGCCTCGCCGGTCGTTGTATAGCGTCCAAACACGGTTTAGTGCGATACACTTAGTCTAGACAGGCACCAGGCTGTGACCGACGAGGCTGAGGTTTATGTCATACCTCATACTCGGTATGAAGGACTCCACCACGTGCAGCCGCCCCGGTTGCCATAATTACCCAGCGAACCGTAACTTGTCCCTCCGGGCCGAAGTTCAATCATCAAATCAATTCTCGCGCATTCTATTTTCTTTTCCCTCTCCCAATTTTCTCTCCCAGGCGTGATAACCAAACAACGAAGTATTCATTTTGTTGGTCTTTTTTTTTTCTGTCCCAGGCCAAATTTACGGTTTCTTTTTAGTTTTGCAGCAGCAGCAGCTTTTGATACTATTTTTGCGCCATGTCGTAATTTTGTCACATTTTCTGCCACATTTGATCTTTGTCGACGCCCTGCATTCATCTTTTACTAGCTCGTCCATTGAACTGCTTGGCGTTGGGTGGTTTTTGAAGGGGAGGTCTTCAGTGCTATTATTATTATTATTATTGGATCTGGGTGCCAATCTAGTCGTCATATCTGCCGACAATGGAATCACGTCCAACGACAAGCACCGCGGGCTCCCAAATCTCATCTATCAACGTTCTGACCTTGAATTGCTGGGGACTGAAATATATCGCAAAGCACCGCCATGAACGACTGTCCGAAATAGGAAATCGGCTTGCCACCTATTCCCCTCAACTCGATATTGTCGGTTTGCAAGAATGCTGGACATATACCGATTACCTGTCCATACGAGACAGCACCCGCTCTTTCCTCCCGTACGGCAAGTTCTACCACTCCGGAATTTTCGGGGCTGGTCTGGCCATCCTGAGTCGATGGCCAATCACCGAATCTTCCATGTATCGTTATCCTCTCAATGGCCGACCTCAGGCATACTTCCGCGGCGACTGGTTCGTCGGGAAGGGTGTTGCATGTGCCAGGATTTCTCTTCCCGATGGCGACAACATTGAAGTATTTAATACGCACTTACATGCGCCTTACGAAAAGGAACCGAACGACAGCTATATCTGCCATCGGACAGCACAGGCCTGGGAAATTGCGAAACTCATGCGTGCAGCTTCCGACAGAGGCAGCCTAGTCATTGGACTGGGCGATTTCAACATGGTCCCACTGAGCTTCGCACACGTTCTGGTGGAAAGTCGTGCGGGCGTGCAGGATGTGTGGCGAGTGGTGAAACCTGGGAGCAGCATTGGTGCAAGCGTCGATCCACCTGAAAAGGAGCGCCGGAAACGCGTGGGCGAAGATGAGACTCCGTCCGTCGAGATAAGTCTCGAGGAACACGGCCACACGTGCGACTCTGTTCTGAATACGTGGCGATGGAACAAGGCCCATCAGAAGCAGCTGGCGCAGGGCCACGACCGGAAAATCTCGGGCACGGACTTGGACCCAAAAGCAAAACGGTTGGACTACATCTTCTTCAGCGGCATAGGTAAGGGTTGGAGAGTGGGAGATGTAAAGGTTGCTCTCACCGAAAGGCACCCGACCCTCCTCTGCTCGCTGAGTGACCATTTTGCTGTGCAGGCGACACTAGAGAGAAGCCAAAGCCAGCCAGCTCCTTCGATCACAGTGGAAGCTCACGCAGCCTTGCACGATTCAAGCGCCACAGGTGCCAACCTCCAGACTGTGGATTTTGAGGAGAAGGGTTTCGACAAGGCAATATCAAAGATACCCACGCGAAGCCAAGTCAGCCAGGACTTTTACAGAGATATCCTCGTCATGATCGACAAATACACGCTGCGGGAGCGAAAGCAACGACGGTATGGCCTGTTGCATTTCGTGGGCTCCGCTGTGGTCTCGATCGGCTGCTTCATCGCCGTCTGGTGGTCACCGCGGAATTTTGTGTCCTTCATCCTGATACTGCTCAGCAGCCTTGGCCTCATGGCTGGGACCTTACATGGATTGATCGGGGGTCTCTTTGTGGGTTCGGAACTGAGGGCACTGGCTGAGTTTGAGTGGGAGGTTCGAAATGCGCTCCATCTTGCTGGCGGTCCGGCTTTGGAAGATCAATCATTTCAACTGAAAGATTGGTACGACTGAATCCGACAAGCATTGACCATGTTCTAGAAGAGCTCCATGAGCATCAATGGCTGGGTGAAAAGTGTCCCTGCATTGCTGCGACAAGCGCCCAGCGACCATGGCGCTTAGAGAATCGAGCAACAAGTGGCAGCTTGCAGTGGACGAATGGAGAGGAATGGACCGGGGGATCCCTAACACATGCAGGGAGCAGAACTGAATGCACCCTGGGGAAGAGAGTGAATTATTATGAATGTTGTTGGCATGACATGGATGGGGGGGAGGATTGAGTGTGTGTTGTCCTTGCTGGGCCCGTCATTGGATTTGCAACTCGACACTTCAAAAAGGGTCCGAATTTCCCACCTTCGTCGATAACGCCAACCTCAACATTCCTCTCTCCATTACTCCCACAACCACCTTTTCCTGTTCGTCTCATTATCAGAATCCGGTCGCCTGGTGTTTATTGATCAGTAACTGATTTTTCAGGATCCAGACACACGCGCATAACAAGGTACGTAAACCTGTCTCCCACCTGTTGCGCTGTTGTCCCTTCTACTGCCTGGACCTTGGTTGCCTGCGAACCACCTCCCACCACTGCTTTTCCATTGCTCCCATGAGTCATCGGTTGTCGCGAGCACCTTATCTATCATTGTTCCAAGAGTTATAAATATTGGACGATACCCCATGAAGTTGTGACCGTATCATCTTTGCCTGCTTCACCGGTCACCTCGTCACCCCCGCTTTTGCGCAGTCCAAACAACCGTTTCACTCACTTTACCAGCTGACAACTGGCCTTATTTAGTTTCTCAAGACAGCCTTCGCCGTCTCATCTGCATACAACTGCGAGAGCCTCAAAAACCACACAACACCTACCAAAACCACCACTACCAATGGCGCAAACACGCGGCGCAACCGGCCACTCCAAGCCAAGAGTCTTTGCCACCGTCTCGACCGAGCCTGTGCGCAAACGCAAGACGACGGCTACCACTACGGACGGCGCCACCAAGAAGAAGCGCAAGACTGCTCCGAAGAAGGCGGGCGCGACAACCACCGGCGCAGGTGTCACGAAGAAACGCGCGCCTGCGTCGCACCACAAGAGAAAGCCCACAATTGCGGACAAGGTCGAGGGCGTGGTGGAGAAAGTCATCGGGACCGTCGAGGGAAAGCCCGGCAAGAAGGC